CCATTAGGGAGCCTGGGTAACCCAAGCTTGGACCCTGGGGGTAGCTGAGGAAGGAGTGGGAAGTGAGAAGGTTCTGGAAATATCTTGAAGCTAGAGCCACAGGACATCAGATGAACTGAATGAGAGGTGAGGGAGGAAGGGAAGAGTCAGGGATGACCCCAAGCTTCTGGCCTGAGCAACTGGAAGGATAGAGGTGCAACTACCTGAGATGGCACAGGCTGCAGGGGTGGCAGGTGTTTTGGGGGGAGGATCAGGACTCAGCTTTAGACACGCTGAGGCAGAGAGCCCTTAGACATCCAGGTGGAAATGGTGAGGAGAGGTGGGTACACGAGTCTGGAATCTCCTCTGCGAGGAGGCCCAGGCAGAAGGCAGCCATCCCAGCGTCATCAGCATAGAGACCGTACCCGACGCCCTGAGACTAGAGATCACATGGGAGTGAGAACATGAAGAATAGATAGAGGAGCTGGGCCGGGCCTGCCAATGCAAAGAAATCCAGGAGATGTGGAGCCTGCAGCCAAGGAGACTGAGAAGGAACAGCCAGAGGGGTGACATCCTGGAGGAGACAAAGATCATCTCTGAAAGGTCACAAGGCCCGAGAACTAGCCACTGCACTTAGCCACAGGGGTCACTGGTGATCTTGACATGAGCAATATGGTGGCGAGTCTGGAGTGGAATCGGGAGGCAACCTGGAGGCAGCACCTTTGCAGCACCTGTCTTTCACCCTAAAGGTGCCATGTGGCCATTCACTGCTGACAGCCAGGGCCAAGGTGTAGGCAACGCCAACGAGCCGGACCAGACACCGAGTCCTTGATCTGCCCTTGCTCTGCCCCACCCAAGCCAGGCTCTGCTGCCAACGACTGATGTGCACGTCTGGAGCAAGACACCCAGGGACAAGGGGGCCCTGAGCGTTAACAGCCCAGGGTGGTGGGAGGACAGAGCTACTTAATGACTTCATTTTGCTGCTGTCTCCCCTGGCTGGGAGATGGTCTTCAGAAAGAACATCACGCAGAGGGAATTGGAACCTGAGATAGGTGAGGAGATAGTAACAGAACAAGCAGCCTCCGCGAGGGTTTCAGATGGCCTCGCTGTGCCCTCCCATTCCGCTCCTGGGCACGGGGCCACGGCCCGCTGTCAGGATGGACGTCCTGTTCTTTAACCCGGGAGAGCAGTCACAGAAACTACATACTGACGCAGCCGAACTCTACCTCCGATTCGTAAAAGGAATCTTAAAAATGAACTAATTACAACACGGAGGACACTGCCTTGAGCACTCAGTAAACATCATTATAATAATACTAGAGCCTCGGTGCATGACATTCATGCACTGCGGGGGGGAGGGGCCCTCAGCCCAGCCTGCGCTCTCTCGCAGTCTGCGACCCCTCGGGGCCGGCAGTTGGACATCCCCCGAGGGGTCCTTAGCACTGCCGCAGAGGCGGGAGAAGCTCCAGCCATTGCCTCTGCGCTCACCAGCTGTGAGCCCGCCCCCTATGGGAGCACACTGACCACCAGTGGGTAGCTCCGGCGTTGAGCATCTGCCCCCTGGTGGTCAGTGCGTGTCATAGTGACCAGCCATTCCGCCGTTCGGTTGATTTGCATATTAGGATTTTATTATATAGGATATTCTCCACATATATTGTACATCATATGTTCTGTTGTTATTTTTCTAGAAGGCTTCAGTGGTCATTCAATGGGCAGGAGTGGCAGGGAGACAGGTTTCATAAGAGTATCCGGAAGAACTTTTTGTTCTCAGAACTAACCCACAAAAAGGAGCTGCCTCGTAAGATGATGACTCCCCACCATTGGGTGTCCAGGCAGAAGGGGATGATCGGCCCCAGAGCTGGGAGTCTGGCCTGCCCACAACACTGACCGCCTCCTCCCGTGAGCTGACAATTTCTGACTGGCTTGGGCTATGCCGCTGGCCATTGGTATTGACCACCCCACTGGACCCAGCTCATCCATGTGCTTGTTTGTCCCCCCTGCAAGCCCGTGGCTGGCAGGGCAGCCCATACAGCCATCCCTGGCCACAGTTAACAGTATCATATGCAAATACACCAATAATCCAGAGATGGGGCTACTCCATCCCCATTTTGCAGATTGGAACACTGAGCTTCAGAAAGCAAAGGGTTAGTGAGAGCCAAATCTCAAAGTCGCATCTCTAGGCCACCCCATTCCACATGGCAGGCAAAGGGCCAGTCCCCTGGACAAGATGTTTTAACCCTCACTCTCACCCTGGCCACTGCTGGTCAGAGGCCTGCACCCTGCCATGTTCACGTGAGTCCACATCCACCCTATGAATGGCCCAGGGCCATCCATGTAGGTGATGGCACTCAGTGGAGTTCTCCAGGCTGTCTCATCTAAGGACCCAGAGACACTGGGGCCAGCTGGGCCGCCAAGACCAAGACCAATGGGTCCATCTTTTCAATGCCCTCTCACTGGTGAGATGGGAAGGTGGAGGCCCAGAGAGGGGCAGTGCTGTGCCCAAGGTCACACAGCAGGGAACAGAAGAAACCAGGTTCCTGACTTTCAGGCCAGAGCTGCGCTGCCCTCTGCTGATACAAAAAGAAGGGAGGGGGCCAGGAGGCTGCTGGGCCAGCTCAGGACCCAGCTCCTGCCCAGAGAGATGAGCAGAGCTGTCTTCCAGTTCACTGAGTCCTCTCTCTCTCCCACAGCCCCCTAGAGTCATGATCGACCCCCACTGCACAGACGGACACCATGCTGCCACTGCCAAGTGTAGCCTTCATGGGCTGAGTCCTGGGAGTCGCTCCTGGAGGCTGATCGATGCCAGCATTTGCAGAAGACGATCCAGAGCCTGAGTCAAAGGTGCTAGATCGGGGCCTGCTGGGGGCTTCCTTGTCACTGTCAGCGCTGGCCAAACAACGTCCACCCCACTCCACCCATCACCTTCCCTGCACCACGGGCCTCTGAGGACCCCACCTTCAGGCCTGGGCAGGGCAATGTGGAGTCACAGACCAGGTGATGAAGCCAGCACGGCTCACCTGAGAGGGGCCTTCACCTCCCCTGGCCAGCAGCTCTGGTCGGTCAGTGGCTGGCCACACCTCTGCCTCAGTGACCCACCTGTCCTAAGTATATTCTCTCCACAACAAAGGGCTCTCCAGGTGGATGAGGTTAAAAAACAAAATACTTAAGAAAATCAGCCACAGGAAATAGTGTGTGAAGTAATGAGAAGGGACTCTTTCAGAACTCTGCTCAACTGTCACCGCCTCCCAAAAACCTCTTCCACAGCCTCCCACCTCTGCCCTACCCCCGAGACACCACCCTCCTCCTTCAATCACTCACTGGGACTTAGCCACATACCCAGCTCAGCCCCTATTGCCCATGACACTGATTTCTTTAGCCCTCTCTGGGCCCACGGCACCCAGGTCTGGCACCTATCTATCTGATGAACTGATGAATGAACCAAAAAAGGGAGAGCCCCTATAGTGACAAATGCTGCTCACATTCACTTGGCCACCTACACATGTGTGCTGGGCGCCTACTCTGCTGGCTCCGTGCCAGCCCCTGCCAGGCCTGAGTGTGGGGAGGAGCCACAGATGAATCCAGGAGCCCACAGACATCCGCGATCCAAGCCAGAGGGGAGGAAACAGCTCGGCAAGGTCTCCAAGGGGCTAGCACGAACCTTCTCCAGCCCCCAGAAGTGGGCAAAACCTCTGGAAGAACATTCCAGAGAGGCGGGCAACCACTTCCCTAGGTAGCCCTTCAAACACCCAGATCCCCAAACCTGAGTCCCCAGATTCAGCCTCACAGTGGCATCCATGGAGGCTGCTAGTCACCAAAGGAGTGACCGCAGAGCCCCCATCCCCGACCCCCGTCCCTAGAAATGAACCGTTCCTGGGCCATGGGGATCATCACCACAGCAGTCGGAAACACTCCTGCTACCTGCTGTGCCCAGCACCCACCTGCAGAAAAGCTCTATGAGGAAGAGTGGAAGGCAAGGCCTCTTCAGGGGCTGTGCGCATGCCCCTACAGACAGCAGGGGAAGTCTGGGGCCCCCTAAGGCTTCCCACTTCAAGCACCTGCATTTGGTTTTATATAAAAGTGTTTTAAATTACCTATTAGGTAAATATCTTAACACCCTTCCACTCTCCAAGTCACCTGCTTCGTTTCTAAGTACAAATGATGCGCCAGACGGATGGGCCATGCTGACCCCTTGTACGCAGCTCCTGGCACATAACTCCACTCGCGTAAGAAGCCCCAGATTACAGGCATTTTCCCTGAAATGACACCTGTGAGAACGAGAGGACGGGGGAGAGGGTGTTGTGGAGGTGGGCGGGACCTTTCCAGGCACTGTGTTTGCACAATGCTCACAGGAAAGACTGCCTGCCTGTCAGAACAGCTGCAAGACACTTCATTCCATTCAATTCCCATTTCCTGAGAGACTTCTGGGTCCCCAGAGCTGAACTAAGGCCATGGGGCTGTGCATGCAGATCCCCAGCTACAGGTGTAGGAGCCAGGTCCTCGGGAGGGGGCCCATGAGGACGGACCAGGGTGATGAGGTGGTAAGCTGGGGGCTGGGGGGAGGCGAGGGGTGAACACCAGGATGCTTACGATCACCTACTAAATAGTTCATTTTTTTTTCTAATGACAGAAACAGGCATACTCAATGCAGGAAATACAGTAATCCCAGAAAAGTTCAAAAGGCTATAAAACAAAGTCTGCAACAGCTTCCATCTTCAAATTTTCACAAGAAAGAGGAAAATAACCATTTTGTAGGACAAAACTCATGCAGAAGCGAAAGTCAAGCAACTTGGGCTCAGTATGCTAGCCTCTCTGATACTTAGAATCCCCCTCTGTTGGAATGAGCCACCATGGGAAATGCTGAGTGCCCCAAGCAGAAGCCATAGGAACGCCCATCAGGGATGCCATGGAGGAGGCTCCAATAATGGGTAGAAGATGGTCTCAGGCTCTAAGATCACCTTCACTTGTGGGAAAGGAGCCCACCTCATGCCACCCAGATGCCCACTAGCCCTGGGTCAACTCACCCACAGGCGTGTCCTCGCTGATCAGTAGGTACGTGTCGAAGAAGTGGTTGATAAAGAAGGGCAGCCGGTTCACCTGGCCTGGAAGTCAGAGGACAAGAGTGTCAGTCAAGTACCCGTCTGCCAGCTTCATGCATTCTCCAAGGGGACAGAGAGTGGCTGGGCTGCAGTGGGCACTGCATCTGTCCACTGCCATGGCCGCCTTCCTCAAGGCAAACGGACCCTCAGCGAGGCCACCAGCTATGGAGGCTATCGAGCCCTGGTCCACAGTGAGCTGTGCTGAAGTGTAAAATGCGCACAGGTTTTCAAAGACTTTGTAAGAAAAGTGAGTGTAAAATGCCTCATTCATCTTCTATATTGATTACGTGTTGAACTGATCGCATTATGGATATATCGGGTTAAGATATATTATTAAAACGAATTTCACCCGTTTCTTTTCTAATGCAGCTCCTGGAAAATGTTAAACCACACACCTAACTCGCATTGTATTTCTAGTGGGCAGCCCAGCTCCAGACCAGATGGGATGTGAGCTGGCAAGGACAAGGGCGGTCTGCTTTGCTGACTGCCACAACCCTGGTGCCAGGAAAGGGTGTGGCATCCAGAGGCCCTCTGTAAATGATGATAATAACAGTAGTAGTAGTAGTAATGATGATGATGAGGAGGAGGAGGATGGCTGCCATCTATGGACCCCATCTCTGTACCAGTCACTATACCGTCTCCATCAATCCTCGTGGTATGGTGGGTGCCATCATAGCCCCATTTTTCTGTTGTGGAAACGAGGCTTAGAGAAGATACGTATGAACTAGCCCAGAGTCGTGCAGTTAGTAAGCGGCAGGCCGCATGGGAATCCTGGGCAGTTAAGCCTGTATGACTCTGTGACACCTCAGAGTGGGGCTGGTACCAGAAGGGGTCAGGGTGATACCTGCATGGCCTGAGGAATTTCACATCCACAAAGAGCCCCCCACACCACAATCCCCCCCTCCCTCCACACACACACACAGAAACTCCCTGAGGCTGGCTTCACCTGTCCCCTTCGCCCCTTCGCATGGCCCTCCACAGTGTGGCACCATAAGGAATATATTTGGTGTCGGTCCCAGTTTCCAGCACAGATTCCCAAAACCCTTGGAAGTTCCGGAGGGACGGGATGTCTTGTTAGTCATAAGGCAGTCCTTTGACCACAGCTGAGTTTATGCCATTGAGGTGACTTGGGTGGAGCCTCTGGGTAGCCCCAAGATGGGGCTGGTCACCAGCAAGACTGGCTGGACACAAGCATGTGCCAACGTGGCGGCGCCTAGACAGGGCACAGAGCTCCGAACCTCGTCCTGTGCATGTCTTCCACCTGGGGCTCCGGAGCTGTGGCCTTTAGATTAAACCAGGAAATGGAAGTGGGGGGTTTCCCTGAGGTCTGTGCGTCGTCCTGGATAACTTAACCCAAGGAAAGGTCATGGGAACCTCCGATTTAGAGCCAGTTGTGAAAAGTGCAGGGGGCCTGGGACTTGTGACAGGCCCCTGAGAGGGGCCTCAACCTTAAATCTGTGGAAGCTGATGCGGACGTCAGGTAGTTGGTGTCAAAACTAAACGGTGAGACCCTCCGTGGGTGTGCAGAGAACTGGGTGTTGGTATTGGGGAACAGCCAGAAGGAGGCAGGGGGAGCTGATCCTTCTCGCGGGGGCCCTCGCGGTGCAGCACCTGCCATAGCAGCTCCTGGGTGTCCAGGCGCCCTGGATGTGGGCAGGGGTGTCGCCCTCGCTCCCTCACCTCTGCTGATGTGGGCTGCCTCAGAGCTTGGGCCAGGCTCAAGAACGCTGAGGCCGCTCACAGAAGGCTGGAGTCAAGGGGGCCCTTCCCCCTCCTGCCTCCCTGAGCCTCTGGCCCATGCCTCAGTTTATGCACGTGTAAAACAGTGATAATAATAGGACTTGCATCATGGCTGTCCCGAGGATTAAATGAGATTACATACATAAAGCGCTTAACGCCATGCCCCAGCACACAGCAAGCACTCGATAAATGGTAGCTATTACTAATATTGGTATTAATAACAGAGCTGTCTGCTCGGCCAGGGGGAATGCTTTGGATCCCTGTGGGGGCCTTGGACTGAGCAAAGGTAGAAGGCTCAGGGGTGCCCAGAGATTTCGGGGCGGGCTTGGGCTGGTGGGGGAGGGGAACCAGCGAGGAAAAGATCGCCTGCAGCAGCATCGGTTCATTTTTAAATTTGATCTTATAGGACCTGCCGATAATCAGCCGCTGAGAGCTCTGCACGGGCAGCTGGGCAGAGCGCAGGGGACATGCATCGCCTGCCACATACCAAGCAGGGCTCGTGTTCTTGGAATAGGCCGGCCACCCTTGGAGGCCTGGCGGGTGGCCCTGAGCTGCCAGCGTGGCACCTGGGGACTGGGAGGGGGCAAAAAATCGCTCGTTCTTGTAAAGACCACTTTTCAGGCACGAAGGCTGTGTCCTCCAGAGGCAAAACCACTGCCTCGGGAGCTCTGAGGCCCCTGGGGGTGTGAGTGTGAGTGGGCATATGTGCTGATGTCAGGTGAGGGGCCCGCAGCCCTATGTTAGGGGCCCTCAGGCCCAGTGCCCGGAGACTGCCTCTGTGACCAGCGATGCAGCGATGCTCCCTGGCCCCGCCAGCAAGGAGGGGCAAGGAGGCCTGTCCAGGCCTTCGCTCTGGCCTCCCCTACAGGCCCACGGGTGCAGAATAAGAAGTGCCTTAGAGCACAGAGGCCAGAGGAGAGAAGGGTAAGAAGGCGACAGGCTGACAAGGGGGGCTGACATCTAGGGGGCATCTGTCCCTGAGCCTGACCCACCTCTGACTACCAGGGTTGGGAGAAGAAATCAGCCGGGCCGTGGGGTCAGCTGGGAACAAAGGGGAGGCCCTGGGGTGTAGTCTGGGGGACAAGGCGAGTGCTCGGGGTTGGAGGCAAGTGTCAAAAGGGCACGGTGAGAAGATGGTGCCCTTCAGTCCCTAAGGTCAGCCCCTGCCCACCATGCCGAAGGAGCGCTGGCTGTTTCAGGTGGGGACCAGGGCGAGGGGCTGTGCCCACGATGCCAGGCAGGCTAGACCGCAGGCTGGCTGGTTTTGCCAGAGACCTGCTGGGTGGCCCCAGGCACTTACTTCACTTGTGCTTTCTGAGTCGCATTTCGCTCCCCTTAGGAAAAGGTACAGCTGATATGAAAGAGCTCTCGCTTACTTAGCACAGAACATGTGCCAGGCATCACGCTAAGTGCTGGATATGCGTGGTAACTCCTCTGACCATTTTACAACCAAGGAGCAGAGTCCTACTGCCCCTCCTGTTTTACAGAGAAGCGAAGAAGCTCGCCACGGGACCCTGGGAGCAGCGGGTGGGACCCAGGAGCCCTGGCTCTGTGCTGCTGCCTCGTGCCCACTGAGGGTGCATCTGGTGCCCAGGCACATGCCACCTCGACTGGGGAAGGCAGCTGGGCTCTCAGCACCTGTTTCATTTTACATACATGCTGGGGGGTTACATATATGCTGGGGGATTACATATATGCTGGGGGATACATATATGCTGGGGAGATTTTACATATATGCTGGGGGGATTTTATATATATGCTGGGGGGGTTACATATATGCTGGGGAATTTTACATATATGCTGGGGGGTACATATATGCTGGGGGGATTTTATATATATGCTGGGGGGGTTACATATATGCTGGGGAATTTTACATATATGCTGGGGGGTACATATATGCTGGGGGGATTTTATATATATGCTGGGGGGGTTACATATATGCTGGGGAATTTTACATATATGCTGGGGGGTACATATATGCTGGGGGGATTTTATATATATGCTGGGGGGGTTACATATATGCTGGGGAATTTTACATATATGCTGGGGGGTACATATATGCTGGGGGGATTTTATATATATGCTGGGGGGGTTACATATATGCTGGGGAATTTTACATATATGCTGGGGGGTACATATATGCTGGGGGGATTTTATATATATGCTGGGGGGGTTACATATATGCTGGGGAATTTTACATATATGCTGGGGGGTACATATATGCTGGGGGGATTTTATATATATGCTGGGGGGGTTACATATATGCTGGGGAATTTTACATATATGCTGGGGGGTACATATATGCTGGGGGGATTTTATATATATGCTGGGGGGGTTACATATATGCTGGGGAATTTTACATATATGCTGGGGGGTACATATATGCTGGGGGGATTTTATATATATGCTGGGGGGGTTACATATATGCTGGGGAATTTTACATATATGCTGGGGGGTACATATATGCTGGGGGGATTTTATATATATGCTGGGGGGGTTACATATATGCTGGGGAATTTTACATATATGCTGGGGGGTACATATATGCTGGGGGGATTTTATATATATGCTGGGGGGGTTACATATATGCTGGGGAATTTTACATATATGCTGGGGGGTACATATATGCTGGGGGGATTTTATATATATGCTGGGGGGGTTACATATATGCTGGGGAATTTTACATATATGCTGGGGGGTTACATATATGCTGGGGAGATTTTACATACATGCTGGGGGGGTTACATATGTGTTGGGGGATTTTACATATATGCTGGGGTTACTTATATGCTGGGGGGGTTACATATGTGCTGGGGGGGCATGAGTGTCCAAGGTCACAGGAGGCTAAGCAAAGGGTCCTGATTGCCACCTTCTAGCAAACCCAGAAGGTACCCCCCAATAAGGTCTCCCCTGGGGGGAGTAGGCAGGGGGTGGTGTGTGTCTTGACAAAAGCCCCTGTGAAGGATCAGAGACCTGCATCGAAGAGCAGCTGAACCCTCAATTGAGTGACCTGGGCCAGCTGCTTCTCAAAGCATCAGTTTCTCCCCTGAAAAGTGGGCCCACAGTTGAGAAGGTCTGAGACCCCTTCCAGCTCCGCCCGGAGAGTCTCTGTGACTGTGCCGTAACCTGGCTGCCGGGATGGGAGTGAGCTCCCCATCGCAGGAGCATTCCAGCAGAGATCCCTCCAAGCCCGGAGGCCAGGAGAGGGGACCATCAGGGGACTTCCAGGCATCAGGATGCCAGTGTCACCCCAACAAGCTGCGGCTGTGGCTTCCTACAGAGGCGCCCGGCTCCCTAGAGTGGGAGATGAGCTGGCCTCCCTCAGGAATGTATTTGCCTGTCGCCAGGCACACCGTGCCCACAGCTCTTCCCCAAGGACACCCTGGCCCCCAGGGACACGGTGCCAGCTGTGCCTGCTGTCCTGGCCTTCCTTCAGATCAGACCAGAGCTGTTTGATCCTGGGGCCAGGACAGGCAAATGCCCTGGCCTCCTCGGTGGGCACTAGCGCTGGCCCTGACCCGGGAAGAGGGGAAGGAGGGCTGGTCCTCCCGGCAGAGAGAAGAGGCCCCTCACCTCCACGCCTTTGCTCAGGGGGTCCCCACCTGCAGGAGTCCCTTCTTCCCGCTCCCCTATTTTAAAACTCAGTCCTTAAAGCGCAGAGTAAGTGTCTCCCTCCTGGCTGAGTGTCTGCTATCCCCGCAGGCCCGATTCATCTTTCCTTCAGACTGGCTTCTCTGTCCTTTATCCCCACTCCCTTCACCTGCAGCAGAGTAAAGCCTAGCGTTGTCTAGTAAATCCACTAGGCTCTGAACTCCTTGAGAACGAGTCGTTTCTTCCACGCCCCAGAGTTGGGCACAGGTGACACACACAGTAGGTGCTCAAAAGACAGCTGGAAAACTGAGTAGACTGGGCTGAAGAAGGACGGTTCATGGTCACAGATGCCTCCTTCCCTTAAAGCTCAAGTATTTCTCAAGGCTCCTCCCATCGCCTCCAGTGGCCCAGGCCCTGGGGGTGGGTATTTTCAGCCCTGAGAGTGCTGCAGAGCAACCCAGGCCCAAGGAGGGAAGTGTGTACCAGTCACACTGCAAGGCGTGATCTCCGGGGTCCCAGAGCAGTCCCCTCCCGATTCCTGCACCAGAGTGCCAACCCCACAGCCGGCCCCCACACCCTGCAGCCCTGGCTTCCCATGCCTGCTGTGGGGGAAAGGACTAAACTTACCCCAGCATCCAGAGATCAGCACAAACAGCCACACCACGTGGCAGCTGGTGGCAACGTGGCACCTCATGGCTCCTGGGGACACAAGAAGGAGGGCGTGAGAAGCGGCCTAGTGGTGGGGGCCTGTTCTTCAAGGCCCTCTAGCACCTCCCGCCCCTGCAGCTCCAGGGAGAAGGGAAAAGAAGGAGTCAACTCAAATGGGGGCAGGGCAGGAGTGGGGACTCGGAAAAGAAGAGAGGGTCTGCGTCATTGATTTTATCATGGTCCAACCCTGGGTGTAACACGGCGGCCTGAGCGTGACTGGGCTGGGGTGGGGGCACATGCCCTCCTTGCCCTTGGAGGTGGCTGCTCAGCCATGGGTGAGGCTCAGCAGTGGGCACAAGTGTGGGATCCTGACATGTTCTGGGCCCAGTGGGTGGAAGGAGGAGCTGCCGCCTTCATCCTCCAGGGCAGCATCCGGGTGAGTGATGGAGCCTGGTTAGTTTGGGGACGGGCTGGGAGGTGGGTGCTGGGCAGGAAGACAGGCGTCTATGAGGGGCTTGTCAGGCCCACTGCCCTGCCTCTCTCCAGCCTAAGAGCCTGGCAAGCATGTTTTTTCTTGTGTGTAGTTTTTTAAATATCCACCATGTCACCCCAAAACATTAGTTCTGAAAGGGGGCAGCAAGTTAGGGGTCCAAAAGGCACAGGGAGGAAAGATGACCTGCCCAGGACTCACAGGAAATCTGTGGGAAGCTGGAGCTGAAACTGCGGGGGCTCAGAGCGCAGCGCCAGGGAGATCTGGGGCCCACCTACCACAGGCTCAGCAAGGCAGGTCCCAGGTCTAAGAGTGGCGAGCAGGGTGGGCTGCTCCTCCCAACCCCGCAGAGGCTCAGGAGCCGGCCTCCCTGGAGACCAGCCGGGACATGGGGTGGGGCCTGCTCCTCAGCTGCCTCCTCTGAACCGTCAGCCCTGCGGGTGCAGGAACCTGGCCCAGCACCTCTGTATCCTCTGCAGGGCCTACCCAAGGGCCCGCACGGCATCCTGCAGGGAGCACATACTGGGCGCCTTGCCTGGGTGGATTTACCGTGCCTGCTCCACAGGCAGGGTCTGGAGGCTGAGAGCCATTTAACAATTCGCTCAGAGACCCCCAACTAGTGAGTGGGGTTCAGCATCTGGACCCAAGTTGACATGCCACCTCCCTCCTCAGTAAAGGACCAGGAAGGACATGGGGAGGGGAAGGGAGCTGAAGGGAAGGAGTTTTTTTGGAGATGCTTCCACATCCCGGCAAGATGTAGGGACGAGAGGTTCAGGAAAGGCCAGGGGCAGATCCCTTATTCCACACCTGGAGTGGTCTCTCTCCCAGCGGAGTGGACAGCGCAGTGACCCCACCAGGTGGTTCCTGACCCACACAACATGCAGTGGCCCGCGGCACCTTCGTTTCCCTTCTAATACTGTACTTACAATGTCCCAATCACTAGGTCTGAAGTGGTCGTCGGAAGAGTAAAAGATTCTAGGGTGTATTTCTATAAAGGCAAATGCCCCCACCATCGCTTTGCATTCCTGCCCCCTGCCCTACTCCCGTGAGTTTCCGAATGTCAACAGCCCATCCCAGGGTGCAAACCGCAGACTACAGGGCCCAGGCAGGGGCTATAAATGAGGGAGACTTTGGGGTGGGGAAGGTGGCTGGGGACACTGGCCTTTCCGAGGCCACATGCTCTGTCAAAAGTGGCAGCTGGAAATCCGGCTTTTTATATGAATTCAATTTTTAAATGTTAACAAATAATTCCATTTTGGTGAGCCAAACGTGACTGGTTTGATGGCCAGCATGGCAGGTCGGGCCTGGCATGCTTCCTCCAGGCCTTGCTGTGCACCCAGGCAGGTATGTTCAATTACACACGTGTCCAGAGCGCGGTGGCTGCTGTTCAGCTTTAGAATAATGGACTCACCACGCACAAAAGCAACTTGCTTTTCTCATGTCATAAATTTCACAGGAAACCCTCCGGGTCAACATTGCTATATCTACCTCCTTCTTTTTTTTGTTGTTATCCTCACCTGAGGATATTTTTTACATTGCTTTTCTGGAGAGAGCAAAAGGGAGGTAGGGAGGGAGACAGAGAGAGAGAGAGAGAAACATCGATGTGAGAGAGACACGTCGACTGGTTGCCTCCCACATGCGCCCTGACCTGGGGGCAGGGGGAGTGAACCAGCAACCCAGGTACATACCCTTGACTGGGAATTGAACCCGCAACCCTTCAGTGCACAGGCCGGTGCTCTAACCATTTAGCAACACCAGCCAGGGCATCTACCTCCTTCTTTTCAGAGCTAAATAATAGTTCCTAGTGTGATGTACCGCATTGGAGACATCTCCTACTGATGGGCACTTGGAAGTTTCCAGGTTCCTGCCACCACAGACAACACCACAGTGAATATCTCTGTATAAAATGGCATTGAGACTTTGATAGCTCTTTTTTCCCTCCTAACTTTTTTATTGAAAGGAGGCTTTGGTTTTCATTTATTAATGTTTAAAATAATTTTTATTTTTCAATTACAGTTAGCATGCAGTATATTAGTTTCAGGTGTACGGTGCAGTGACTGGACATTTATATAATTTACAAAGCGATCATCCTGATAACCGTAGTACCCAGGGACCTTGGTGGCTCTCAAACCTGGTTCAAGGACTCATAACGCTGACATTTCCTGAGCACATATTACATACCAGGCACTGTGAGGCACTGTGATGCACGGTGTAGTCTACGCGCTAGGACTCAGAGAGGTTAAATAACTGTCCAAGGTCACATAGCTAATCAGCGGTCAAGTCTAGATTTGAACCCTATTCTGAACCAGGCCTGGCCACACTGTACATGTCTGCTCTGACGTTTTGCTGTGGGCCAGGCACTGTGCTAGACACTAGAGGTCAGAAGAAAACTGAAGACCTGCTATGGGGCTGACACTCCGGCAAAGACCAGCACAGACAGTGTACCAGCAGGTGAGCAAGTCTGACCGAGTATTAGGGCGAATGAGTGCAAAGAGAGGAAAGGAGCAGGGCAAGAGTGGTCTGAGTGTCGAGAAAGGTGACAAATAAAGAAACTTTTGAGGAATCAGAAAAGTGAGCCATGTGGATCTCTGGGAGAAACTCCTTCCAAGCAGAGGGGACAGCCTGTGCAAAGGCCCTGGGGCAAGAGTAGGCTAGCGTGCATGAGGAACAGAGGGGCCAGAATAGTTGGAACGGGGTGCATGGTGGGGAGAGTTGCAGAAAATGAGGACAGAGAGACAACAGGCCCATGATGGCCACTGGAAACCACTGATGTGCATTAACGGGGAGTCATGGTCTTCAGACAGCCAGGAGCGATATGAATGAGTCACGTGTAAGGGAGCTCGCTGGCTGCTGTGTCGAGGACTCCCTGGAGGGGGCAAGGGCAGAAGCAGGCAGGCAGGTGGAGAGGCTACCACAGTGATATGAGCCAGTGATGACTGGTGGCTGTAGCCAGGGACATGGGCACATGGTGTGGGGTCTGGCAGATTCTGGGCATATTTCAAGGTAGATCTGAGAGAGTTTCCTATTGAAGAGGATGTGGCTGTGCTAAGAAAAAACCAAGCCTGAGGGGTTTGGCCCCAGCACTTAGAAGAATGGAGCTGCCATTAACCAGGATGGGAGAAGGCTGCGGGTAGAACTGGCCCAGGGGCCAGATCAGAATTTCAGTTTGGGACATGGTGACGTCAGGCCTGAGGTGGGGCTGGAGCCGTAAAGGTGGGCGTCATCAGCATGTGAGGGTTCTTAGCGCCTCCAGAGGGACAAGCGTCCCAAACCTCCCACACCATGAAGTTCTGAGAGCCAATCAGTATTTGAAAATTGTATGAAGAGTCTCAAAATGTGCACACCACTGTGGCCCATCCACTCCACTTCCGGGATGGTGGCTGCAGAAATCTTATGTCTGCATGGACTCTAAGCCACAGAAATGTTCACTGCTGCATTAGTTATGACAGTGGAACGGTCCAGGCACCCGGCAGGAGCCTGGTTCGTGGTGGGACACCCACAGGAAGCAAACAGAGGCTTGTGGATGGATATGCACATGTGTGAATGGGGGGGGGGGTGCACCTACAGGGCTGTTCTGGGAAACTGATTTTCTCTGCGTGGTGAGGTACAGCTGATTTTACTTTCTGCATTTTCCAAATGCTCTATAATAAACAGCCAATGTTTTTACAATCAGAGGCCTAGCTTATGTCCACCTGACCAACACACTGCCAGCAGCCTATGAACAGGTAACGGCTCTAATTAGAAAGTTCTTTCCTATACTCCGCTGAAGTCCACAATCCCAGGTTTGAATCCTGCAGGTAATGGAGGTCCCCAGTGGCCCCTGGCTAGCCGCACCCCTAGGCTGTTACCCAGATCCTTCTAAGGACAGGGAGCTCCCTCCCTCCCAGGCAGTGGGTCCCAGGCCGGGGGCCGTGCTCTCTGCCCTGTCCGCCCAGCCATGCTCCCTTCCCACACGGAGAGCAGGAGGTGTGACTGTGCCCATCACCAGGAGGACTTCCCTGTGCTCCGCCCGTGAGGATCCACGGGCAGCACAATGGGTGAGAACAAGGCCTTGGAGATGAGCCCTGTCTGAGGCGCAGCCCTGTACTGAGGGCTCTCCTTTCCCTGGGAGGACTAACAGTTTAACAGACAGGGTGCTCACCCAGCCAGTGTGGCTCTGTGCTTGAGTGCTGACCTATGAACCAGTAGATCACGGTTCAATTCCAGGTCAGGGCACATGCCCAGGCTGCAGGCTCGATTCCCCAGTAGGGTGTGTGCAGGAGGCAGCCGAGCAACGATTCTCTCTCATCATTGATGTTTCGATCTCTCTCTCCCTCTTCCTTCTCTCTGAAATCAATAAAAATGTATTTAAAAAAAATAAGTAAATAAAAGACAGTGTTCTCAAGTGGTTATAGACACAAACTGGGCTCTGAGCCCCTGCAGGTGATGTGCCCACAAGATGCCCACTGCCCAGCTGGGTCCCCAGCCCAACCTTGGAGGGCCCCTCCTTCCTGTCCCTACTCCTTTTCCCTAGGCTGGAGGAGGCCAGGTTCCTGCAAAGCTCCTCCTGATCCTTA